CTTTTTGTTTTTCCTTTTGTGGTTTGATGAGTTCATTTTATATTGTGCTTTTGTTCTCTTTAAAAAAAAATTATTTTCAGCTGCGTTGGGTCTTCATTGCTGCGCACTAGCTTTCTCTGTGGCAGCAAGTGGGGGCTACTCTTTGTTGCAGGGCATGGGCTTCTCATTGTGGTGGCTTCTGTTGCGGAGCACGGGCTCTAGGAGTGTGGGCTTCAGTAGTTGTGGCACGTGGGCTCAATAGTTGTGACTTGCGGGCTCTAGAGCACAGGCTCAGTAGTTGTGGCGCACGGGCTTAGTTGCTCCGCGGCATGTGGGATCTTCTCAGACCAGGGCTTGAACCTGTGTCCTCTGCGTTGGCAGGCGGATTCTTAACCACTGCACCACCAGCGAAGCCCTGTTCTCTTTGGTTTTTGTGAATCTCTTATATGTTTTTGATTTGTGGTTACCCTGTTTTTCAAGTATGTTAACCCCTTCCTTTACGTGCTTTAGACAATATTCATATATGCTCACTTTCTAAAAAAAACCCTACATTTTCTTACTCTTCTCCACATTTCATGCTTTTGAGGTCTTCTTTTACATCTTCATGTTTATCCTTTTGCTGTTCATTGTGGTTATCACTGCTTTGACAAAATTTTTTTTTCTTTTAATCTGTATACTGGCTTATTTTCTCTTTCCTGTAGCTTCTTGCTTCTTTTCTATTTAGAGAAGACCTTACAGTATTTCTTTTAGGATAGTATTTTTTTTTTTTTTGAGCATTTAAAAAAATATTCAGCTGCACCAGGTCTTGGTTGCAGCATGCAAACTCTTCATTGCGGCATGTGGGATCTAGTTCCCTGACCAAAGGATCCAACGTGGCCCCCTGCATTGGGAGCGAGTAGTCTTAGCCACTAGACCACCAGGGAAGTCCCTAGGGTAGGTTTAGTATTGCTGTATTCTTTTAGTTTTTGCCTGTCAGAGAAATCCTCTCTCCTATTCTAGATGATAATCTTGCTGAGTAGAGTATCCTAGGTTGCATATTTTTCCCTTTCAGGACTTAGCTGAATATATCTTGCCACTCCCTTCAGGTCTGTAAGGTTTCTCTAGAGAAATCAGCAAGAGGGTTCCCTTGTAATTAACTCTTTGTTTTTCTCTTGCTGCCTTTAGAATCCTCTTTTTATCTTTAACTTTTGCCAGTTGAATTATAATATGTCCTGGTGTAGGTCTGTTTGGGTTTTCATCTTGTTTGGGACCCTCTGTACCTGGATATCTGTTTCCTTTCTAGGTTTGGGAGGTTTTTAGCCATAAGTTCTTCAAATACGTTTTCGATCCCCTTTTCTCTTTCTTCTCCTTCTGGAATTCCTATTATGCATAGATTGGCATGCTTTATATTATCCCATAGGTCTCTTATATTGCTTCCTTTTTTTTTTTTTCATTTGGCTTTCTGACTGCTGTTCTGATTGGGTGATTTCTATTATTCTGTCTTGGTTCTTCTGCACTGTTCAATCTGCTGTTCACTGCCTTTAGCTCTCATCTCTGCAGATGAGTTTTCTAATTTTTCTTGGCTCCTCTTTAGAGTTTCTAGTTCCTTTTTACAGTAATCTGTATCTCTATTGATAGCCTTTCTTAATTCCTTCAGTATTTTCATTATCTATTTTTTGAACTTGGTGTCTATCAGACTGAAGAGATCTGTTTGTTCTTTCAAAGGGGAGTTCTCTTGATATTTTAACTGGGGGGTCATTCCTCTGCTTCATTTTATTTGTATTTCTCTTACTCTGAGTTTAGGAGAAACAGTTATCTACTGTGATCTTGGAGGGCTATGTAGGAGCGTCCCTGTGTAGCCTGCACGCGTTTAATATTTTTGGTGCGAGGGCTATGTTTAGTATGGATGCCTGCCACCTCTTTCCTCAGTGTGTCCTGGCCCTTATCTCTTTGATAAGGGGGTGTGACTGGTGGTGTGACCAGCGCCTGCACCGGATGTTAAGTGGGGCCTTCTTTTTGCTCTTTGGTTGTTATAACCCTGTCAGGGACAGTATCTGTTCCCTAGTTGTTGGAGTAGAAGCCCCCAGATCCGTTTCTGAGTTGCGCTTCTGAGCTGCGGTGTGAGGTAGGTGGGATTGAAGTGCTCCCACTGGGAGAAGAGCCACTGAGTATTCCTCCGCCAGAGCTGTCTGTCTGGGAGTGCGCTCTATTGTTAACCTGTCTCCTTTTGTGCGGGCTCACAGAGTACACTGTTGGCACTGCCATCTGTCCTGCCTCAACCGTAGGAGTGCTGGCAACTGGCTCTGGTACCCCTGAGGTGGTGTTTTCACAAGGCCACCAGCGCAGATCCACTGAAGTCAGGTCCCAGGACTGCAGTAGTCTCGCACCTGGACCCTCTGTGGAAGCTGTGGAGGCAGCCCAGACCTGTCCCAGCCATGGGGACACCCGTTTATCGCTCCACGTCCCGTAGTGCTGAGTTTACAAAGCTGGAGGTGGAGGTGTAAACCCGCGTCTCACGCAGCCCTGAGGAGAGGTTTAGCCCTGCTTCCTAAGTTGCACAGCCTCCAGCACCTGATCCCGGAGGCCGCTGGGGCAGTGGCTGGTGCACAGAGGAAAGAAGCTGCCACACTGGGCCCTGCCCCTTCCTTCGTGCACTGCTTAACAGTGGCGCTTTGCTTCTATGGTGGGCCTGGGCTTCTGTATACACCTCTGCTTACCGCGCTCCAGCCCCTTTGGGCTGTCTCCACACGGCCAACCCCAATCCTCTCCCCAGGTCTGTCCTCTAAACCCAAGTTTCAGCACCCAGCCCCCACGTGTACCCACGGGCATGGGCGTCTCAGGCTGGGGAGCACAGAGAGGTGGCACGTGGTTGTGCTCCCATCTGAGCCGCTGATTCCTCTTCACAGCTCCTTCCCAGGGGCGCAGGTCCCATTCCACTTCCCCCACCCCCGCCTCGTCCTACACAGGTTCACGGGGAGATCTTTCTTGTCCTTTCAGGTGTTTAAGGTCTTCTGCTAGTGCTCAGTAGGTATTCTGTGAGAATACGTACGTAGATGTATTTTTGGTGTATTTGTGGAGGTGAGTTCCATGTCCTTATACTCTGCCGTCTTGATTAGGGCCCTGAGATAGTACTGTTTGACCGATGAGGAAATCAAGGCTTGGAAAGGTCACACAAATAATGCAACTGGAAAGCAAAACTTTTATACCTGATATGTACACAGAGCAAAACAAGGAAAATGGAGAACTATTTCAAATTTTAGACAATATTCAAGTTAAATATTTTATATTAATATGTAAATTTGATGGACTGGTTGGAGGTTTTGTCTCCCACGAAGGCATTTTCCTTCCCAAGTTGGAGAAAGTTGAAACATGTATTTAATAGCTAAAGTGTGTGGGAGTGGTGGCTGTGTGTTTGTGTGCACACAGTCTAGAGCCACTAGAGGGAGCCAGGACTCAACAGAAGACAGATTTGCACCAGCTGGAAGCAATGCCTAAACTCTGATTACATCTCAAAAGGTAATGCCAACCCAAATCAGCACTTCTAATGAAAACCTGTTTTCAGGATCACTCGGAGGACTCAAATATGAATATAAACTGAAGGTTTAATACTTCGAATCACAACTCTTATGCTTGGAAAGAATTAGATGATTTCCAGATAGGATTGTAGCCCAGGAGATGTTCTTCCTAGTTTAGCACACTGCCCTTTGGGAGGAAATTTTGATGGGAACACTTGTCTTGAAGTATTTAAACATAAGCCTATTCAAGGTGTTTTGTTTGTAAAAGCATCGTTTGGCCTCAAAAATACAGTAGCTTCCATAGGATGGATGTCATTGGGGGTGGGGGGGTTCTTCATTTCTTAAAGAAGCTGCCACTTGTATTTTCTTGATCCTGTAAGTGCCTTGAACTGATAGATTTGAAGTCTCCTTCGACTCTATCCCAATCCCCACTTCCTTGTTTTCCCAGGGACAACACCACTCGTGTGTATCCTTCTGGAACATATTTTGTACTGAAATGTACGTATTTATGTATCTTTGAACAACTAGCAGTGTAGTTTGTTTTTTTTTCATTTACTGAAATGGTATGCTAAACACAGTTTGCCATTGACTTTTTAAATTCATCTTTGTTTTTGAGTTTTGCCATGTATACATGTAGACAATACGTTTCTTTTAATTTTTTATTATTTTTTCATTTGTTTTTGGCTGCGTTGGATGTTTGTTGCTGCGTGCGGGCTTTCTCTAGTCGCGGCGAGTGGGGGCTACTCTTCGTTGCTGTGCGCAGCCTTCTCATCGTGGCTTCTCTTATTGCAGAGCACGGGCTCTAGGCATGCGGGCTTCAGTGGTGTGGCTCACGGGCTCTAGAGTGCAGGTTCAGTAGTTGTGGCGCACGGGCTTAGTTGCTCCACAGCATGTGGGATCTTCCCGGACCAGGGCTCGAACCTGTGTCCCCTGCATTGGCAGGCAGATTCTTAACCACTGTGCCACCAGGGAAGCCCAATACATTTCTTTTAAATATTGCATAGTATTTCTGAGGTATGCCACAATTTATCAGTTCCCGCTCTGAAGATGATTAGGTTATTTGTAATTTGTTAACTTTGATCAACTCGAGTAACATTCTTTTTCTTTTTGGACAAGAAAGTAGGATTTATTGGTGGGCACGAGTAAGGAGGGGACAGCGCCAAGGCTCTCATGCGTGCAGGGCCTGCCATTTGTCCAGAGAGCCACGATTAGGGATGTATTTGACCCCACAGGCCCCGGGATGAGCCAATTTTCTGCCACCATGTTTTCAAATTCATCTGCATTAAACTTAGTAAATCCCCACTTCTTGGAGATACAGATCTTCTGGCGGCCAGGGAACTTGAACTTGGCCTTGCGCAGTGTCTCAATCACATGTTCCTTGTTCTGCAACTTGGTGCTGATGGACATTATGATTTGGCCAATGTGGACCCTGGCCACTGTGCCCTGGCCCTTTCCAAAGGTACCGTGCATACCTGTCTGGAGCCTAGATTGGGGACAGCATGCCAGTCATTAATGTACACTGGAAAGGGCTGTCTCCAAGGTCCCTTAGGGCAACCCATACGGGCAACAGGCTGCATATACTACCCAGGAGGCTAAAATCATCTAGTTAGATACCTGTAACTGCAGTAGCTAGAGTACAGGGTAGGGCTGCATTTTCAGTTCTACTAGGTGTTGATAGATTATACTCCAGAGGCTGCCCATTTGTGTTCTCACCAGCAGTGTACAAGAGCCCCGTATTTTCACATCTTTACCAATGCTATAGTCAGACATGCTAACTTTTGCCAAGCTGATTGTCTTAACCTGCGTTTTCCTGATTATCAGTGAGACTCAACATTTTTTTCATGTGTTTTAGCCATTTCTCATGTATTACATACCTTGCATTTAAAGTTAAACTTAGAATTTTACACAGTACCATTCTCTGAAGTGAATTTTAATATTGTATTAAAAAATCTAACTTGTTACACGATACATATGTTCTGTGACTTTAGGTATACATCCATATACATATATCAAGGTAAAGTCCAATACAAAAAAAAAAAATAGTTTTCCCATGGCCAGTGTTCTACGGAAGTAAGACTGTGCAAACTTTATTTTAGAGTCAAATAAGATTGCAACACTAAGGCAGAACAAGGCAAAAGCAAATGTGTCCACAGTATATTACAGAATATCTTGCATAGCTTATTTGTTCTCACTTGATAAACTCATTTTAGGATTCTGAAAGATTTTTTTTTCTCAATGAATTTATACAAGTTAGTGTGTACTTTTTGCCTTTGCTCTATATAGCAAACCAGCTTTCTCAGTACTAGTTATGTTTTAGTTTACAACCTTACAGAATTAATGATAGCTTGAGCTTTTGGGGCTCTGAACTGTTTCACTGTAATCCTTGATACAATGACGTACAAATACATGTAGCATTTTGAATCTTCATCTGTATCTCAGGCGATTTTCCAGGGCTTCCATTCTCTGTGTCATTTCTTCTAGTAAATCTCAAATTAAGGAAGAGGAATCTGAATGGCCTATATTTATTTACATTCAAATCAACTTGATTTATCTACATAAGAATTTGTGCCCTGAAAAATCTAAGGCTTTTGGTTTTTTTTCCCCATTTCTGTTAAGTATTTTAAAATTCTGACTTATAAGTTTATAGTAACTCATTAGCACGTGCTATCAAGACTATAAATCTGTATGGGGTTAAATACTCTTTTTTTTTTAACTTTAAAGCCAGATAGTTCAAATTTTTCTTATTAAAAATTTTAATTCTACTCACACCCCTGTTGCTTATAAATTAATTTGCCATAGCACACCTCTTGAAGCCAAACTGATAATGTTGGGAATGAGGTGAAGAGAAGAAAACAAAAGGATTAGGCCTTGGAAAGTAAGATATGACATCAGAAGAGATGAAGAAAGATGGGGAGTTTTCACCAATGATGATAGGACCAAAGTGTAGCAGCCTTGAAGACTTCTGACCTATGCTCTTTTATTTTTTTTACGATTTTTAAGATTTTTTTTCTTTTTTTGGATGTGGACCATTTTTAAAGTTTTTATTGAATTTGTTACAATATTGCTTCTGTTTTATGTTTTGGGTTTTTGGCAGCGAGGCATGTGGGATCCTAGCTCCCTGATCAGGGATTGAACCCGCACCCCTGCATTGGAAGGCAAAGTCTTAACCACTGGACTGCCAGGGAAGTCCCAACCTATTCTCTTTTCTATATAACTGCCTTATTCTCTTGTGAGGTAAAACTCTCAGAGGTGGGCTGGGAAAAGGCAGAGCAGAGGAGCATTACAATAAACATTTGTCTTCCTTCCTGAAGCTTCTTAATACCCTCCACCTGCTCCCTCAATGGCAGAATGAGAGCCTGGATTCATCACCTATATTAAACACTGTCAGATTATTTTACTTTACTTTATGGAGCATATTTCCAGTTTTCAGAGAGGGAATGGCTGTATGCTGTTCTTTATTTTATAAACCCATTTGCACAGAAATAATTCAGAATTAAACCATTTCCCTTTAGACTAGTTGATGCATGTTGAGCTAGATATCAGGCAGCTTTAATAAGCTTACTATAATTTTAAGTTCAGAGCAGTTGGCAGGGTGTGTTCAGTGTATAAAAGCACTGAATCCTCATTTCTCCATTATCCCAAAGCATCCCTTTTATTTGTAATGTTTTAATGAATCATTGGATCCTGCTGTTCCCTTGGTAGAATATTTCATCTTAGAGTGCTGATAAAAAAGATCTCTGCTGCCAAACAAAAAAAAACCCACCCCAGTCCTCAAAAACCTACACACTGACCAAATGTGGCCGCAGTGTGGCTTGGGGCCAAAGGAAGGGTTTGGAGTTTAGGTAAAAGACTTTGAAACCTCTTCATTCTACATAATTCTTTGCCTATACGCACTGTATCTTTAATGCACTTCAGATCTGGGATATAACTTTCATTTCCTCCCAGCAGAGAAGGAGTTAAATAAGTCTTTTCTCTTTACCTTGCATACTGACTGGCTGACTGGCCTTACTGCTAAACCTCCTAGAACCAACCGCAGATAGCAGCTAAGTGCTTGACCTGTGCCGGAAGCTTGGCTTGCCCTTGGCTCTCAAGCACCTATCAGTCTGCTTAAGAAAAAGCCTTTCTTGGAGTTCACTGTTCTTGACTTTGTGGAAATGACTTCATTTGATATATACCCATATATAGAATTTTTTGAAGTTGTGGTAATATTCTTTGCATTCCATACAGAAGCATAACATTAGAAAAGGATATAGCGCTGCGTTAATTTTCTTACTTCTTCATTTGCAAGGTTCTGGAACATTATAAGGTTTTCACATTTGCATTGATTGTGTTTTTCTGCCAAAGGACTTCCTAAGAAAGCAGATGGAAAGTGTTCAACTGCATAACCCACCAAACTTCCCAGACGCATAACAGTAGGACTGAATCAGCATATGAAGGAAACCATAATGAAAGAAATGTTCAGCTTTTTCCATGCAGCCAGATCCAGTAAATACCAGGAAAGGGCTGTATGTGCTTCCAGTGCTGGAAGGGGCCTTTACTGTGGACTGCGGGAGGACTACTCCACTTTCTTTTAGTCTATTCTTTTAGTTCTCATTTTCCTTAAGTTCTTCTCTTTCCCCCTCTCCTACTTCCTCCTTTCCTGTCCTCCCTTAAGCTGAGTTTGTTGGCAAGTTGAGAGGCTGATAGCAAATTACCCTATAGTAATATTTTACTTGGAATTACCTGAGGATTTTGTCGAATGGAAAAGTTTTTGTGTAGACCGTGCAAGATTGTTTTCTTCAAACAGATATCTGTGTTGCACTGCAAAATTAGAACAGGAAAGTATGTCTCGGATATTTATGGTGACTGGCTCAGATTCTGTAAAGAGAAAGAAAACTGAAGTCAAACCTGTTTAACACGGTTGTGGTTATAATATAGCCATCAGCTGTCAGAGTAAGGTACTTGGTATTCCTAGAATGGGGTACATAGCTTTATTTTGGGACATACTATGGCAGAAAGACTGTCAGCAGAGAGGCTATTACCAACTATGGCTAAAAAAGTGTAAATGTTTCCTGTGTGATGGAACAACTTTTGTCTGTGGGGAAACCATGGTGTAAGTATCAACCAAAGATTCTAAAAATACTGCTTTTAGAAAATGTACCTGTTGGCTGGTGGGCCCTCTTTGGCAGTTCCCCTGCTGGGGGATCCCGTCTTCCACCAGAGTCTTCCAGAGCTGAGAGGTAAAAGATGACCAAAAGAGTGACAGTTGTCCACATGGGCGCATGTGTTCTTTAGGAAACTGGTCCCAGACCAACTCCTTACCTACCTGCCACCACCCAGGATGTTCTGGTTTGATTTGGTAACACCACCGATTCACAAAAGCACTTGGTTCCCCCGATAATCTTAAGACCTTTCTAGGGCAGTTCTCTCTAGTAAGAGAAGCCTGGATCCCTTAAATGCATCTTAAGAATATCCCCAAAAATGTTATGTCTAGAAGGTAGGGTGGGAAAAAAAATTAAGTTTGTCCAAGGGTTAAGTTGCAGTGGCAGCAGCTCCATTTGAGGTGTTTCAGCTTAAATGAAAGAGCTTAGAGGCAAAACATTATCAAGTTGCCTTAGAAATCTGAAAGGCCTTCCCTTCCTGGCCTCTTTCATCCCAGTGCTCTTTCCTGTGGAGGAATAAGACACATCACTTTGACTGGGATTTTACTGGCGACTGAAGCTGGGACAGAAGTAAAAGGAAAAACGGGCAGAACTGCTATATGCAAGGATACCTGGCACAATAGTGAACTGGAGAAAAGCACGAGGGGCTCCTATACATAAGAAATTCTAAATTCTAAAGGGCAGTTTAATGTTCTGTAAACAGAAGTAGTCCATGCAAGAGGGCATTCTTTACATTTTCATCAGTGAGCTTGAAAGGACTACCATCCCTTTCCACTCTAGTCACAGGTGTATCCCAAAATTGTGCATCAGCTTTCCCGATTCATATAATGGTTTTTTCTAGTTACGTGATCACCTCCATAGGGTTTTTGTGAGGATTAAGCACTTTGCCATGTGTCAGAACACTCATCACACTGCTCAGTACAGAGCAAGTGCTCAGGCAACGTTAGCTGCTATTTTGTCTTCTCTCTCCCCTATTCCACTTTTTGTGCTTAGTGTTTCTGGGTGTCACTGGCCCTGCCTACAAGGGAGGCACTTTTTTGAGCACTTTGAAGGAATGGGTTGAGAATTTCTCATTCACATGCTGCTCTGTTTGCTAAGGTCTCTCCTAGACGTAAGCTATACTACCTTCACATATGCCTTTCCGTAGTTTATCACTTATCTCGCCCATCGTGCTGAAGTCTTCGGCATAGAAGAGATGCTCTTCTGTGGGCTCAGAGGCAATCTCTTGTAGTTCTTCCTCAATGGCTTTCCCTACCCCAACAGCATACATGGTTACACCTAAGGAACAGAGCAAGTTAAGAACAGGGTAGTTACACAGACATGGAAAACAAATTTATGGTTACCAAAGAGGAAAGGGGCGGGGAGGGATAAAATAGGAGCTTGGGATTAACAGATACACACTACTATATATAAAATAGACAACAGGGTCCTACTGTACAGCACAGGGAACTATATTCAATACCTTATGATAACCTATAATGGAAAAGAATCTGAAAAAGAATAATATATGTGTGATTATATATA